AAAGAGGGCACTCCCAAGGGTCAGCCTGCCTCTTCTGCGTGCTCCCAGGTCTCATTTTACAAAGTGATTTCAGCCCAGGTATATCTGCAATGTAGCTGCATATGGAGTAGCTTTATAATCAGAGGAGGTTTGGACGTGCAACATTACTCTAGGCAGCCTGCACTGAAGAAAATCTCACTTGGACAACAAAAGTTACTGCTATTGAATCATTTTAAATATTACTACATGCTATTTTGTGCATTTAGAATGCAAGACATAAGAGTAAAACAAAACACACAATAGAAAAACATGCTCCAGTGGAACAAAATCAGAATCCAGTTCCCAGACTCACAGCTGGAGAGATACTCTGAAGTAATTACAAGTACCATCCCAGCCATTGGTGGGGTTCTGCCGCCCCCAGCTGGCTGAAGCCCTTCTCTGACAAACTACTGGTGCTCTCCAGCTGATAAGCGCTATAGTGATTTTTAGAATGGTGGAGTGGATGGGTGGAGAGGCAGATGGGTGGATTCATTCATTTATTTACTCATTTAATAGATACCAAATTTCAATTATTTTGCCAGGCACTGTGCCCAGTACTGTTAGGAAGTGACATCTGAGACCTGAGATATGAAATCTGCATTGGCATTTAGAAAGCAAGGGCTATAGCCAGAGCTACCTGTGTAGTGGATCCAGGAGAATAGTTGAGGCAGTGGCAAAGAAAGGGGAAGTGACCTGGGATGATGGGGGCAGGACTTCCCAAATATGCCTCTTCCCCTAGGGGGAAAAACATATTTCTGGCAAACCATAGCCTATTAATTCAAATTCATGGGGTTAGAAGGAGAAAGAATACCCAGCAGGCAAATGTGAGCTTTAGACTTACACTAGAAGGAATATAGGGAAAGCCTGAGGTGGGCACAGGGAGAGAGAGTAGGCAGAACTCTTTGCTTCACTGAAAAACAAAGTGAAACAGATTAAAACAAGATACCATATTTAACATGACTGGTCCTCAAAGATGACACCTAGTATTAGTAAGTCACTACTATATTTTACTGATGAGTATGCAAATTGGTGCATTCTATTGGACAAAGCAATTCCACAATTAGGAATTTATTGTCCAGAATTACTTGCAGGGGTATATGGAGAAAAGAACCAGTGAAGAGACTGCATGCCATTTGTTTCACTTGGACTTGAATAATGCAGTTACTTAGAGCTGAGGATTTCCTTCTTAAGACTGAAAATTGTTGCTGGAAGTTGCCTCTGTAGCTGGGTTACTATTCTTAGCTCTTTTTAGGATTCTGTAAAAGCCTATATAAAAATATCCCAACCTTTTAATTTCAATTGAACTCAAACATGCATTTATGGAACATCTGGTGAATGCAAGACTTTGGCTGGGTTGGGAGGATACAATGCAGGGATAACTTAGATCTGGTTCCTTGATCTCAAAGCCTTGGCCTAGAGAAGACTGACTTGAAAAACATAGAATAGAGTAATTCAGTGAAATAATGGCTATAACATAGCATTATGGAAACATGGGATAGGAAAGATATTCTAATGGGAGGGAGGAGGGAGGATTTTGACAGGACCAGGAGGGGAAGAAGGTTTCTTCCTTTAGGGTGGAAGAACATGAGCCGGTGCTTATTCATTAAGTCTTCACTGAGCGCCCACAAGGTGCTGTGTGAAAGAGAGAAGCAGAAGAACTACTTTACACCAGTTAAAATATAGATGAAATACACCCCTGAGAAAAAAGCCATATAACATTAAATGATGCTGTGTGATCAGGTATCAAACATTGTACAGAATCCAGAGGTGAAGTAGAGATGCAGGCTAAATACTTTTTTTTGCAGGGGTGGGCAGTGAATTAGCCACTTTAAAAATACTTCAGTGAAGTCAGTAGCAGAAAGCATGAGGCATAAAATACATATTTCTACTGCTGCCCCCTTCTCCAAGTTTCTAGATTTTGTGAAAAGTTACCATTTTTATTTTTAATTGCATGAGCAATGCATGTTTGGAAAATTTCAAAGGATAAGAAAAATATTTAGAGTAAAAAAACTCTCCCTTCAAAATCTCCCATTCCCCCATCTCCCTCTTCTCTTCCTAGAAGCGAGCACTGCTTTCAGCTTGCTGTGTTTCCTTTCAGAATGACTTCTAGTGTATTCATGGAACTATACATAAAACTGTGCTGTGATTTTACATAAATGGATGTATGTGTTTTTCTGCACTCTTTTTTTTAAAACTGAATACCATATTTTGGAGATTTTTCTATGTCAGTACATAGATCGTCAAGTACATAGTGTTAAAAACCATTCTTAAGTAGAATTCCACAGTAAGGATGTATCTTGGCTATTTCGCCATGTCCATTTTGAACGTCTGTAAGATGAGAGCCATTAAGGTCTTATCTCATTTATATAAACAGCCAAGCAAGAAACAACCCCAGCTCTGGGCCTAACAGACATCTTAATTGAACCTCTCCCTTACAACCCCTCAATTTCCTTGAACTCTACCCTGGAAAGGGAGACACAAGCCATCTTTGCATTCCCCAAAACCTTTTGGGAGTTCTGTCTGCAAGCTGCAATCCGCTTCCTCTGCCTCCAGAAACTTTAACCTCCGTCTGGCAAACGGACCTTACATCTTCTGAATACCCCCCTAATCTATGGTTTATGCTCTCCTGTTTTTCAGTTTACTTAGCTTTTGATATTCAAAGTCAAGTGCGTCCACTGAAAACATCAACAAAAGAATTAACAAAGCAAACAAAACTTTTCACCTAAGCAGCAGCTCCTATAAAAGTGCTTTGACTTTCAACCCCACCATGAATTAGTGCATTAAGGTGATCATTGATATCTCAATGGTGAAATGAAAGGTAATGGAACCAGGAAGCTCAGGGAGGGTAGGACCTCAATTAAAACCTCAAATGTGATCCACTGCAAGGTGAACATTTCCCCAAATTAGATATAGCTTATGAGCATCAATTTCATAGTTGCCCAGTATTCTAACCAACAAATATAATTTACCATTCTCTTATTTTGTGTTTTTCTTTGTTTTTTATTATATTGTAGATGATCCATTATGGTTATCTTAGGACATATTCCCCTACCCCCCGAATTTATATAACTTATATCATAGTATTTAATTATGTTAAGGCTTTTGTTACACATTCCAGATTGCTTTCCAAATAGTTCTAACGGTTTGATTCTAGAAGGCTGCTATATTTGAATTAAGCAGTGGTAAAGCACATTAAACTCTTGCACCAACCTTGAAAAAGTTGTCTGTACTAGCTACTGTACTAGCTGTCACCACTTCCTCACATCCTACACATTCCTCAACTCACTGTGGTCTGGCTTCTGCCCAAACCACTCCACCGAAACTGTTTCTGCCAAGGATCTCGTTGCTAAATCTGAGTCCCTCTCTTGTTTGACTTCTCAGAAGCATTGGACAGTCTTGGACTCCTCCTCTTCCATGAAACTTCTACGTTCTCCTGGTTTACCTCACCCCATCTTCAGTCTCCTTTGCAAGTCCCTCCCGCCCTTTCTAGCCTGCCTGTGTGTCCCAGGGATCTGTCCAAAGCTCAGAGACCTTCTCACTCTAAAAACTCTCCTCAGGCAATCTCATACATCCCCACTGCTAGATGCTGATGCCTCCCTAAACCTCCATCTCCATCTCAGCTCTCTCCAGGGCCATCCATCTGCTCCTGGACAGGCCTCTCCAGTAGGAGATCCCAAGCCCATCTCAACAGAACAATGCTGAACTGAACTTATCTTCCTCCACCGCCTCTATCCTGTATTCCCCATCTCACACCACATGCCGAGATGCCCAAGCCAGAAATATGAGCGCCATCTCCTTCTCCCTCATTCCTCACATTCAACTTCCCAGTCTTATTGATTCTAACTCTAAACGTCTCTCACATCTGTCCACACGTCCCATGTCCTCTGCCACTATGAGTCCAAGTCCCTGTGGATTGTGCCTGGATTACTGGAACAGCCACCTAACTTGACTCCCTGCCTCTAGTCTTGCTTCCTTCCTCCAACCCATTCTCGACTCTTCAAGGAGAGCAAGCTTTCTGAAACACAAATCTAATTACACCCTTCCCAGCTCAAAACCTTGCAGTATCTCCCCATTGTCTCAGAACAAAATCCAAGCCCCTTGAGGTAGAGACATGGGTGTATGTCAAATTTTTTAAAGTACCATACGGTAAAACGGATTCTTTGTGGTGTGTAGTTCTATGCATTTTAACACGTGTACAGATTTTGAGGCCACCACAACTAGCCATCAGTCTGAAACACGCCCTCAAGCTACCCCTTCATATAGCCAAGCTTTCCCCAGTCCTAACCCCAAACCATCACCGACCTATTCTCCATAGCTATAGTTTGTTTTTCCGGGGGGAAAAAAAGGGAATATAACCCTTTGAAAAAACAAAACAAACCCAAACCCCTTAAAGTGGCTTTGATGCCGCTGCCTGCCTCTCCTCCACCCACTCTCCCCTCCCCCTCAGTCAGACAGAGCTGTTTTCAGTTCTCGGGCGCTCCAAGCGTTCCTCCACCAGGCAACCTCCTGCCCGCCCTCCCGGATAGGGGGCCCCTCTGCGCTCCGGGTGCCTAGCGCTTCCTGTATCACGCTGTCGTCGTCGAGCGTTTGCCCGTCTCTTCCCTCAGACAGTTCCTTCAGCGCCAGGGCCGCGTTCTAGGCCCGGCTCCACGCCCAGCGTACCCGGCCGCCCCGCCGCCCCGCCGCCCAGCCTGCCCGGCCGCCCCGCCACCCCGCCTGCCAGGCCGCCCCGCCGCCCACGCAGCCCGCACAGCCAGCACAGTCCGCACAGCCCCAGCCGTTGCCCAGGCGTCCAGAGGGTCCGAGGCGCGCGGAACTCAGAGCTTCCCAGGCCGAGCGAGCATGCGCCTCGCTCGCGCCCCCCGCCCCCGCCCCCGCCCCCGCGCTGCGCTTGCGCGCTGGGGACAACCGTTGCAGGGCTCCCAAGGCCCTGAGGTAGGACGGTCGGCCGCTGACGCCTTCCTCTTGCGGCCCTGAGGTACCTGGCCTGGTGGCCCCAGGACGTTCCCGTCGCATGGCGGAGTGCTACGGACGATGCCTATGAAGTCCTTAGTCCTTCTAGTTGGGCTGTTGCTATGGCCTTCGTCCGTGCCGGCGTATCCGAGTGAGTGACCGGCCTGAGGAGGCGGCGACCCCGGGGCTCTTCTGGGGGAACCTCCTGGCTTCCGGGGCCCGCCCGAGACCCAGCTCTTCCTTTTCCCTGGTCCTAATCTCGCACACTCCGCTGTCCAGGGGCTGGCCTCCGCAGCGGAGGCGTGTCCCTCTCCTGCCTCCTGCGACCTATTCCGCCCGGCGCTTCCCGCCGCTGGGCGCTTATCCGGGCAGTGGGTCCCCTACGGGACCCGGATGCACAGCGCTGGGCGCGCTGGGCTCGCGGCGTGACTTCCTCATCCCGGGCCGGGGCCGATGGTCCTCGGGGTTGACCTCGTCCGCCTGGACCGTGCGTGATGGAGCGGGGTCCGCAGACTGCGGCCAGCGCCACGGCGGCCTGCTTTTGTACGGCTGGCTGGCTAGGAGTGGTTTTTACCTTTGTAGATGTGAATGTGAAGTATCTTTCGTGATAGGTGGGAAAGTCTGAAATTCTAATTTCATTGATCGTAAATAATGTTTTGCAGGGTCACAGCCCTGCTCTTTCCTGTATATATTGTCCAGGGCTGTTTTCCCGCGTTATAACAGCAGAGTTGAGTAGTTGCCACAGAAGCTGTGTGGCCTGCAAAGCCTAAAATATTTCCTCTCTGGCCCTTTACAGAAACTTTGCCCCTGTGGTAAGACAGGGAGAGCGTGTGGATTGTGGGCAGCTCTCTAGGGCCCTCACTGACCCCTGACGCTCCCCCAGAGCATCCTCTGGTGCACAGAGTCGTACCCTTAGTTATGCAGTTAGAACTCACTACTTGTCCCTCCCCAACAGGTGAAAACTAGTAAGTTCCAACTGGGGGAGCTGACTGCTATATTAACATCATGTGGACACCTTGAAGTATTTAAGTAGTTAAATGTCTGATAATCTGATACTCCAGATATGACTGCGAGGCTTGTCCGTCTAGTCTAACTGTAGTTCACTGTAGCATTTAGTAATGTTGGGGTTTGGTTTAACCAAATAAATAAATAAAATTTAACAGGTGTGAAAAAAGTACTAGAGTGCACGCTAGTTATGTGGAGCTATATTTCAGAATTGTTAAAAGGTCTTGGTTAAAAATGAAAATACAACACAACCTAAATCGTGAATAGTAGTGGGAAAAGTTCTGGATAAAGTGTCCTAGATAACTAAAGTTAGCCCTTTAAATATTAGCACTTATGATTGTTAGCTATTTTAAACAAAAATCTTTGTAAAATTTTTCTCCTTTGCTGCAAAGGAACAGAACGTACTGAAGATGATATCTTCTCTTCATGTCTGATGGTCACTATTAACCAACACCAGTTACTGCATTTTGGTAGTTGTGGATCAGTAGGTCACAAGTGACTAACATGGAGGCTTCAGTTGACATGACAGTAATACTGTCACACAGTACACTCTGAGACTGCTAGAGAGTTGCTGGATACTCAGTTAACTCAGTGCAGTCTCCTGCCTAACTCCGTAATTTCATAGCCTGCTCGTTTTCTTTGTACCGTCTTCCCTAAGCTTTCTTAAGGCTTGTACCAAATGAAAAGATACCTGTCAGAAAAAGGAATGATTTTGTGTTGAAGATACATAGATGATATAAGACATAAGGAAAATATATGCAGGTCATGGGTCATAGAAGATATCTTGGACAATGTAATTTACCTCTTTTCCACAGAAATGGATTAAGAGATATGTAGAGCGATGTTAACATGGCTGATTTCTCTGTCTCTTTCATTCTTTTTGTTTAAGTAATTTTAATTTTGTTGATTTACTTATTTATTTTGAAATAAGTATACCAAAAGAAACCAGGCTTATTGTGTTTGATTTAAATCAGTTATGTATTCTTTATTTGATATGGCTGCTGTTCCAACAATTGTTGGAGAGAGGGTCATGTAAAAAATGCTCTCTCATGCTGAAGAAAAGGCACATAGGTTTTCATAAGGAAAGTGCAGCTTTGACAATTTTTTTCTAGAATACTAAGACAGTTTTGAGGTTATCTTATATAAACATCGTGGGTATTGTATTAAGTCATTACATTTGTTAAAAACCTCAGCACTTCTTGTAACTGCCTCTACCTTTCAAATAGGCCCTACCCAAGTTTAGCTGGTGCCAGTTTAATCTATACTCCTCTACATACACATGCATCCTGATGGTGCCGGATAAACACCTTTTTACTATATACTTAAATTTATGTATATTCATTTAATTTCCTTATATCTGGTTTTTCCATAGTTTTAGTTTTAAATATTTTCAAACTTTTAAAATCACGCCTCTTTAATGTATTTGCACTGTACGACTTGCTTTTCTTCTTAATGAGACTTCTTTTTGCTTTTAAAAAAATGTATAATTTCTAAAGTAACATTAACATAATAGTTATATGTTTAAATACTATTAAAATAAATTATATAATTTGACTTTTATAATTTTAAGTCACTAAATATTCATGGGCCTGAAGCTACAAATGCAAGAAGGTGAGGTATTAGTTTTTGGGCTTTTAAAAAAATATTTCATGAATAAATTGTTTTTCCTGGTCATCTCTTTGGATAGATCAGCAACAGCAGGGTTAATGATACAGGATTATTTTAAGCTAGAATAACAAAACCTCTTAACTTGCTTCTCTAGAGTGGTGTTAATAGAAGGTTAAATATCTAAGTCTTTGGCATCTTTGTCCTTAGGAAGGCCTTTGTCCTAATGGACCACAGAAGGCAAGGGAAGTAGTAAGGCAGCAAACAGCAATAATTGTTCAAATCTATCGGCAAATAAATTCAAAGGAAAAGCAGATTCCTTTTATTTCAAGTACATTCAAAAGGTAAAGTTCTTGTGCTGCAAGCTCACTTTACACTATTTCAAGGCCCAAGGCTATTGGCGCTTGGGAGGGTCTCTCAAACCTGTGAATGGAATGTCATGACACACTTCATTAATCTTTCAGAGGATGAGGAGCATGTCATCTAATATGTGAATGTCCAGAGGATGGCCTTTGGGGGAGGAGTAGTAGTTTTATTAGCCTGTCCATTAATGTTTTATGGGGGAGAGAAAGTCCTATCTTTCTCTTTGTTGAGCTGCCTTCTGTATTCTTTTGATAGGATCCCATGTTTGTTTGGGGTTTTTTTCCTTTTTTTTTTTAAGCTTTTTATTAAGATTATGATAGTTTACAACCTTGTGAAATTTCAGTTGTACATTATTGTTAGTCATGTTGTAGGTGCTCCACTTCACCCTTTGTGCCCTCCCCCAACCCCGCCTTTCCCCTGGTAACCACCAGTTCTCTTTGTCTATATGTTAACTTCCACCTATGAGGGGAGTCATACAGAGTTTGTCTTTCTCTATGTGGCTTATTTCACTTAAATAGTACCCTCAAGGTCCCTCCATGTTGTTGTGAATGGGATGATTTTATCCTTTTTTATGGCTGAGTAGTATTCCATTGTATGTATATATATATATATATATATATATATATATACACCATATCTTCTTTATAGGATCCCGTGTTTTTAAAGGCTTCTTGTTTTCTGAATTAACTGGTTGTCCCAAGACCTCTTTGTGTCTTCCCTGCTCTGAATGGACTCCACTGTCTTTTTACAAGGAGACGTAGTAGAACATGGTATTAGAGACTAAAGTAACTGGGATACCTATCAGACTTATGTGCTGGGGTGATATTGTTATTTGGATCATTTTATTGAACAGAACTAGAAGAGATATATATCAAAGTCATGAGGTTATTTTGGTTCCAGTTAAATTTGAACATTACTCGTATGATAACTTCTTGATTTTTAACTCTTCACCCAAACTAAATTTGTATTCCTTTTTGAAAATAGAATTTTATGAAGCTGTTTTGGTTATCTGTTGCACCATAAAAAGCCACCCCCGAAATTTATTATTTCTCAGCTGGGCAGTTCTTCTCCTTCATATGGTGGAGCTGAAGGGTCACTCATACAGCCGTATTTAACTGGAAGCTCAACTTGGGTGAGAACATCCAACATGGACTCTCATCTTCTAGGTTCTTTCTCTACATGACTTCTCGTTTTTTGGTAGTCTAGCTCAAGTGTCTATACCGTGGCAGCTTGCTTCCCAGCGAGAGCTGTACAAACTCCCAGTATGCAAGCTCTTATCAAGCCTATGCTGTGTCAGACTTGCTAATGTGCTATAGACCAAGGCAATTACATAGGGCAAGCTCATATTCAGTGTGGGGAATCACAGCTCAAAAACATAAATACTAAGAAGTGCAAAGCCATAAAGTTAAATTTCTTTTTTTTCAACTTTATTGACATATTATTGACAAATAAAATTCTAATATATATAAAATGTACAGTGTGATGATTTAATATATGTATACATTATGAACAGATTCCCACCATTGAGTTAATTAACACATATCACCTCACATATTTACCTTTTTGTGTGTATCACCAACTATAGTCACCATTGCATTAGATCCTCAGGCCTTATTCATCTTAAAACTGAAAGTTTTGGGCTGGTCCCATGGCCGAGTGGTTAAGTTCACGCGCTCTGCTTCTGTGGCCCAGGGTTTCGCCAGTTCGAATCCTGGGCCAGGACATGGCACTGCTCGTCAGGCCATGCTGAGACGGCATCCCACATGCCACAACTAGAAGGACCCGCAACTAAAATATAGAACTGTGTGCCAGGGGGCTTTGGGAAGAAAAAGAAAAAATAAAATCTTTAGGAAAAAAACACAAAGTTTGTACCCTTTTACCAGCTTCTCTCCCTGTTTCCCCCATCCCCTAACCCTAAAGTTACATTTCTTTAACTGGAACATTTAATTAATATGAACATAATTACTTGTTTGTTTTACCTGTTTTCAAAAATTAAAATTTGAATTAACAAATTATAGGGAAACTGCTGGATGAATAACAAGATACAATGTTTCCTTTTGTGACCATTCTTTGAGCACACCCCACTAATGAAGCACACTTGTTACAACTTTGATTTGAATTGAAAGTACTTCAGCTCATTTTTAAAGTTCATTTTGATTTGAAGGTGTTGGTGCTTTAGCTGGCAGTTCTTACATGATGGCAGCTTTCAGGTATCAATTTTTGCTTGCATCACTTAACTTCTGTAGAGTAAGGGAAGCCTGTTCTTTTTGAGCCTACTTCATGACATAGATGGAAAGTACAATTTGTTCTCCGAAGTTAAGGACATTGAGCCAGAGTCTGTTCCACCTATAAATGATTAAATACTTGGGTGTATGTTAAGCTTTATATGCATGAGTTCTGTATTGATTACAGGCATTCTGTTTTTCACTCTTGTGGTAATAAAAATCCTAGTTGTATTAGAATCTTTTGAAAAATGAGCATCCATGATTCTTGGTTAAATTTTATGTGCAATCACCAGTTTCCATAAGTTTACAGGCCAAGGGGAAAGTAAAAACGTATAAGTTGTTAAAGCACAAAGACCAGATATATTCCATCAACCTTTAACTTTTTGTTTTTATGTGACAGTCTTAAAATTTATCCTTCCCTCTTTACTGGGCTCTCAGGTTTATGTGGAACATCTTGCTACTGTCTTTAACTTACCAAGTATTTATTCTTATACCAAACCGCATGTTTAAATTAACAATATTATTGGTTTTCAAAGCTTTAGTTTTTTAAAATATAAATTGTATTTTAAGCACCTGATCAGATCGCACCCATCTTATATTGAGACAGAGAGGTTTTTTTTAGAATTACATCTTGACACAGACTTTTTGAGTGAATCTCTTTGTATAACCTAGGTATTACATTATGTATTCATAACTTACCACAGTCTAGTGATAGCAACATTTTACCAGTTTGAGTGAAATGTAGAAAGCTTGCCTCCCTTTATGTCCTTTTACCCTCTCCCATTCATAATATAATTGTCTTAAATATTTCCTTTATATACATTGAGAACGACATCAGACAGTATTATAATTTTTGCTTCAACTGTTAAACGTAATTTGGAAACCTCAAGAGGAGAAGGAAGGTCTGTTTCATTTACTCATAGTTTTGCTCTTTCCATTATTCTTTCTTCCTCCCCAGTGTTCCAGGATTCCTTCTTTTATCGTTCTGTTTAATGAATTTCATTTATCCATTCTTTTAGGGTAGGTCTACTAGCAACAACTTCTCTTAATTTTTCTTCATCTGCGAGGTCTTGATTATCCTTTCATTCCTGAAGGATATTTTCCCTTGACAGAGAATTCTGAGTTGACACTCTTTTTTTCCCCCAGCACTTGAAAAATATTATGCCATTTCCTTCAGACCTCACGGTTTCTCATGAGAATTCAAATTGTTTTTCCACTATAGATAAGATGTTGTTTCTCTCGTTTCTTTCAAGATTTTTTTCTTTGTCTTCAGTTTTCTGAAGTTTGGTCACGATATATCTTGGCATTGGTATCTTTGGGTTTATTCTCTTGAGGTTCACTCAGCTTCTAAGTTATGTCTTTCACCAAATTTAGGAAATTTTCAGCCATTGTTATGTCTTTGAATACTTTTTCAGACTCATCCTCTTTCTTTTTTCCTTCTAAGACTCAGATGACATGAATGTTAGAGTTTATGTGTTACATTCTCACAAGTCCTTGAAGCTCCGTTCATTTTTTTTGCCAGTCCATTTTCTTTCTCTTGTTCAGATTGGTGATTGCTATTGTTCTGTCTTCTAGTTCACTGATTCTTTTCTCTGTCCCCTCCATTCTGCTGTTGAACCAACCAGTGAGTTTTTTCATTTCAGTTAGTGTTTTTCAGTTCTAAAATTTCAATTCGGTTCTTCTTTAGATATTCTATTTCTTTGCTGAGACTTTCTATTTTTCATTTATTTCAAGCATACCCATTGTTGCTTGTTGAAGCATTTTCATGATGGCTACTTTTAAATCTCTCTCAGATAATTCTAACATCTATGTCATCTCAGGGTTAGCATCTGTTGACTGTTTTTTTCTTATTTAAATTGAGATTTTCCTAGTTCTTGTTTTGACCAGTGGCTTTTGATTAAAACCTGGGCATTTAGGGTATGATGTTGTAAGTCTGGATCTTATTTAAATCTTCTATTACAGATTTAAATAGGCCTCTGACACTGCTTCAGCGGTGGAAGAGTAATGTTGTCTTATTACCACAGGGTGGAGATGAAAGTCCACTCCTCATTCAGTCTTCTCTGCTGGAAGACAAGCACGTCTGTGGGATAAGGGCGGAGAGGTTGGGCACCTCACTGAAGCCTTATGAGGGTGGAAGTCTTGGTTCTGCACTCAGCTTTTTCTGGTAAGGGTAGTGCTGCAGTGTGTTCTGTGGTGTTGGCTGGAATAGAGCAGTTATTGACTAAAATTTTTCTGTTTTGCTAGGCTACCCCTTTCCTAGTCCTTTGGCTATGAAGAGAGC